CTGATCTTCTTTCCCTTCTGGCATAAACAGGCAGCCTTGCAATTCTGTATTTTCTCTCTCTCTCTCTCGTATCGTTTGCTTCCCTGCTCTTTCCTGTTGCAGTGTTTGGCAGCCATAACATTGCTCTCTGAATTTCTTTGTAAACATCAGCCTGTGGCATATTTGTAGAGACAGCATAGGGTCACACAGCCATCCAAAAATCGACTATAAAAGGCATATGTAATTTAAATTGCATAACAATAAAATGTACTTATGCCATTCATACAGCTTTAACATTTTATTTTAATATTACTTTCATAATTTGTTTTACATTTAAAAAAAAAAAAGTTTACGTTGTAAAATGTTAACGCTACTAAAGAATAACACGTATATTGCAGTATTTATTTATTATACAAGTAATACATGTGTTAGTAAAAAATATTTTCGTAGCATATGCTGTTCTTTTGTAGCTTTAACATGTTATGATTTCATATTTTTTTTTCAATTCAATAGTATTTAATACATTTAAATAAATGTATTTGTTTTTATATAAAATTAAACTTTTCATAATTTATTTGCATGTATGTTAGGAGCATATAGGGATGCACCGATATGAACATTTTGGCCGATACCGATAACTGATAATTCTTTATTTTTGAAAGCCAATAACCGATATGTTGGCCGATAAATCTATATCCAAATTTTTATATACTTTTTGAGAGCCTGATTACAAAAAAGTTGTCCGTGTCTGCACGGACAATAATTAAATGATTTTAATTACTAAACCATATTGTTGATGAAAATAATAAGAGAAAAATAAGTGGTTGTTATTATTAATAATGTATCAATGATTTTGAAAAAGTAACAAATTAATACCACTGTTTTAAATAGCAGCCGTTTGAGCTGCGCGTGCTGAAGCTGAAGAGCTGAATGAACATGGTAAACTGAAGCGTTTTGCTGGCAGCTTATTTAACTCAAGGAAATGCATCCTGAGATTAATATGAATACAACATAAACATAATATTACAACTTATATATGTACAAAATGACGCAGTTATTGCGTGCTATAGTCAGAATGTGTGATCCTGTTTTGGATGCGCTCTTCCCATAACAACGCGCTGAAACACGGCAACTAAACCCAAAGAATTCACAACGTTTTATTATAATAATGTTCTCATTAGAATGTTATATACACGACATTCCCAATCATAGTTATTAATGTTGTGCACTGCTGTTTGAGCTGCGTGTGCTGAGCTAAAGATGATCACCGGTAAACTGAAGCGCTCTTTTAACTTAACCAAACGCATTCTATACGAGATAAATCAGATATACATCAAATAAACACAATAATACAACGTACAATTGCACAAAAGGCTGCAAACGAACAGCGCGCATCTGAAGTGTCTCTGAAGGAAATAATGCATTATTTATCGGCTTTAAGATATCGGCCAAATTTTCTTATCGGGCCGATACCGATAACAGAAAAAATGAGCATTTATCGGCCGATATATCGTGCATCCCTAGGAGCATATATAGCTATTCTTTTGTAGCTCCACTTTTTGCAGCATTTTTTTTGTTGCAGCAGTTTTAATGTTTTTATTTTTTTCATTTATTATTATTATGTAAAGATTTAAATTGATCAAAAGTGCCAGTAAAAACATTTAGTATTTTATATAAGATTTATATTGGGGGAAAAATGCTGTTCTTAAAAAAAAAAAAAAGAAAGATATAGTAGTAAAATCACAAAATAAATGTATCACTGTTTTCAACATTGATAAATGTTTGAGTACAATCATATAATAATAATAATAATAATAATAATAATAATAATAATAATAATAATATATATTATTTTTCGCAATATTTTTGCAATGTTTTTAATGTATTTTTAATCAAATTTATGCTGTCTTGGTGAGCATTAGAAACTTATTTCTAAAACATTAAAAAAAGTACATTTAAAAAAGAAAAAAAAAAGAAAAATCTAAGTACTTTGGTCACAAGTTAATACTTTTTTCTACAAAGTTAGGACCAAGTACAAACTCTCTGGTGGGCTGTCAGAGTGACTGTTTTTGAATGCCCCTGTATATTATTTCTATAATACTTATCAAATATAAAAAAACAAACATATTTAAGGCATGAATTTTGAGAAGTTGTCCTGGACAAGTTAAAACTCTTTCATAGAAGTTTCACCCCTAAAATCATCCCCTCTGAAGCATCACCAGCCATCAAAGTGCCACTTTTGTAATAAATTTACTGCCTTCGGTACATTTCAAGCCTATTACTGTCAGACTTCAAATTGTCTGCTGTGAGAAATGTTCCCGTTATTATGTGTAATCCATTTTTTTGTGATGGTTTTGCACAATAAAGGTTTATAGTGATTTAACGGAGTAATTTGTCAGTCACCCTACTGAAGGGCTATGTTTATATACCGCTGAGAAATGCATCAGCTTAATTATACAGGGCTTCATAAAGGCATCTCTCACAACCAATTTTACTTCCAAAATCTGACATATTTCCAGGTGAAATGGGTTATTCAGCTGGAAAAAAAATGTATATAGGATGGGTCTCTTATTCATGGTGAGTTGATTGGATTGTGAAAAGTGTCTTACATAACACTCGAGTGTGGAGTTTGGTGGGAGAGCTTGATTTGTGTGGTTTTGGAGTGGAGCGTATCCTGAGACGGTAACCGAGTGGAAGGAATGAGGCAGGGAGGTGTGGTGGAAAGATGAAGCTGTCACGTCTGTCGTTTGGCTGTGTGGTTTACTGGGGCGTCCTTGCCCTCCTCTGGGCCGTTTTACAATGTTGTTTCTCTCTCTCCAAACTTATCCTTTGCTTTCCCCTTCCTCTCTTTCCACTCTTCTCTCCATTTTAAAGACGGATTGATCTGCCCATTTACTTGGCTGCTGTGTTGCAAACTTGTGGCAGTTGCACAAGTCACATGATAGTCTTAATGTCTCCCACTGCGCCTGTAAACTTACACTGATTTATAAACTAGTTACTCAAGAGCATTTGCGTGGAGTCCGTTTTATTTTATTTGCGTTTTTAAATTTAGTTTATAGTTTAAGTGTGGTTGTTGGTCGTCTTAAGATTTAGGCTACATTAAGATTGTCATTAACATTAATATCATTAATATTTTTTATTATTATATTAAGTGTTAATTTAAAAGTGGTTTTTTTTAAAATTATTATTATTAATACTTTTTTCAGCAAATATGCATTACATTAAACAAAGACATCTAAAAAAAATTATATTTCAAACAAATTCTGTTCTTTTAAACTTTCCATTCATCAAAAAACCTGAAAAGAATGTATCACTAATGCATTAAATTGATCAAAAGTGCCAGTAAAAACATTTATAATGTTATATAAGATTTCTATTGGGAAAAAATGCTGTTCTTAAAAGATAATGATAAAAAATAATTATGATGATGATAAAAAAATCACAAAATGAATGTATCACACTTTCATTTTCACTATTGATAATAAATGTTTCTTGAGTACCAAATCAGCATGTCGTCATACATGTAATATTCCTGTTCTTACTATATTTTTAATCAAATATGATGTCTTGGTGAGCATTGGAGACTTTTATTTCTAAAACATTTTTTAGAAAGTAAAAAAAAAAAAAAAAACTTCCAGAATATACACACTTATATAGTACATACACAAGCGTGTTTATGTGAAGATGTCAAACAAATTGTGAGTTGATTGCTGTGTTGAGACTTGTTACTCAAAGCTCTACATGTCTGGGCCGTGACCCGACCTCCCGCACCTCTTCAGGCTCTTCAGATTGCAGAAAACACATGGTTTCAGTATAACGCACGCCCCTATAATTGTCCCATGATTACACCAGTTTGTTCGCATTTTAGAAGTGTAATCTTACAGTTACTCGGAATAAATCACTTTCATCACAGTCGAGAAATGTTTGTGTAGAGCTTTAATGACAGGCCGGGCGTAGCTGCTTCCTGTTTCAGGAAAAGAGGAAGAACATGGTAATGTAAACGAGAGTGTCTCCTATCTACAGGAAGGACGACAAGGGACGAGAGGAGGGAAACTTAACTCAGTGGGAGATTTTGTTTGAGCTAGTGAAACCAGATTTTGGGCTTTTCGGTGATTTTAAAACGCAAAGTCCTCTTTTATTCTCCCACTTTCTCTGACCTTTCATGACAAACATGATAGAGAAACTTGGTATCTTGGATGTTTTTGCAGTGGTAAAAAGTAAAAATCCCAGCTTGTCCAGAAGCGTGTGCTGTGTTACCTGCGCTCTGGCCAGTAAATGTTTGGCAGCTCTGTCGCTGCTATGAGTTGTGCAGTGACGCAGGCATCATCATCCTCAGCCATCGGCAGGAAATGATGCGTTTAGAGGCTGTCGGACATTTTCGTTTTGACCTTGGAGTGTTTTAAGCGATTCAAAGAGTCAACAGGAAGGTCACCACGTGAGTTTGTGTGCTGCTGAGAACATATGGATAGGACTGACAGACTCTCAGTGCGATCAAGCCATGTATAAGCAAACAAACCAAATCAAATTAAAATCCATTTGATGGGGCGAACAGTGACCCTAGAGCACAGGGAATATGTCTTTAGAGATAATAAGGAAAATCCGAAGCAGATATTATGTTTATTCTGCTCGCTCCAGATAATATCTTTCTTTATGAGAATAGACAGATGGGCGTCTTGTTTTTATAGATCGCATTAAATCAAAGTCCATGCTGGTTTGCTTTAAGGCCATATGCTAAAAATAAACAAATATTTATGTATTTGTAAGGATCATGTGACACAATTCAGCTTTACATCACAGAAATACTTAGAATATCATATTTGTATTGTATTGATTTAATTGGCTTTTTTTTTAGTCTCTGGCTAAAATCAGTCATTATAAAGAACTCCTGTGTTATGTCTAGGCCCCTATGAGAGTGTTGTGACAGGTCTGATCCTGCTTGACTTTTACTGGACTATAATAAAGAGGGACCATTAACTTCGTCCCTTAATCTTTCTCTCACCTTTATTCTTTGTTCTCTCCAGGCGTTGGCAGCTAATGCAGGTACCGGATTTGCCGTTGCGGAGCCGCAGGTTGCCATGTTTTGCGGCAAGCTCAACATGCACATTAACATCCAGACTGGCCGCTGGGAGCCGGACCCTTCCGGATCCAAAACCTGCGTCGGAACCAAAGGAGTGCTGCAATACTGTCAAGAGGTAAAACAATGTTACACAACATAAATGTCCTTTAGGATTCATTTCTTGTTCAGTCCTTGGAGGGAGTGAGCAGTGAGCCATCTGCTTGAGCATCCACTTCACAATATGATCAGTTGCTGATTAATGGAAATGCATAGATTGGGTTACGTTTCACACTGACTTAAAACTAGCATTTTACTTTTTAATGTTTATTACGTTATTATAAATGTTATAAATTGCACTACTTTGGGGTCAGTTAGAATATTATTAGATTAACATTTTTATTCAGGAAAAATGCATAAAAATGATCAAAAGTGGCAGTAAGTTTAGATTTCTGTTTGGAAAAAATGCTGTTCTTTAGTACTCTATTAATCAGAAAAATCCCAAAATAAATCTATCACTGTTTCCACCAAAATATTTAAGCAGCATGACTGTTTTCAACATTGATAATAATAAGAAATGTTTCTTGAGCAGCAGATCTGCATATTAGAATGATTTCAGAAGGATCATGTGACACTGGAGTAATGATGCTAAAAATTCAGCTTTGCATCAAAGGAATAGGCTAAATTATGTTTTAAAATATATACAAATAGAAAGTAAAAAAACAAATATTACTGTTTTGCTGGATTTGTGATCAAATAAATGCAGCTATTGAATGGGAAACTTAGTATTTAACAAAATAGGC